TGATACTCTACTGGGATTGTGCCTGGTGACACTCCACTGGTTGTACCTGGTGACACTCTACTGGGGTTGTGCCTGGTGACACTCCACTGGTTGTACCTGGTGATACTCTACTGGGGTTGTACCTGGTGACACTCCACAGGTTGTGCCTGGTGACACTCTACGGGTTGTGCCTGGTGATACTCTACTGCCTGTGCCTGGTGATATTCTACTGGTGTTGTCCTTGTTTTCACTTCCCGAAGCTAGTTGCTCAAACTTCGTGACTTTCTCATGAGATCAGTTTTGGTGACTTACATTTTGCTGGGGAATGCATGCAGTTGACAAGTACTTATTATTTTCCTTATGATTCAAGCACTCTTTTCTGTGCCTGGGACAGAGAGAGAAGAAAGTCCAGCCCCGTCCCTGTGGATTCATTTCCTCCTGTGGGAGTTGATGCAGAGGTGGCTTCTGTGGGCAGAGTCTCGGAGGGTTAGGAGAGGAATTTTTAGCTATTACTTTATTTTATTTTTTTTGCTGGTGCTGGGCATCAAACCCAGGACCTTGTGCAAGCCAGGTAAGTGTTCCACTGTGGGGTGTACCTCTGTCCTGCTGCTGTTCTTTTGAACTGCTAAGTACATTTGTCATTCTCTCCCTTCCTCTTACTGACTCACCCTGATGGTTTGGGAGCAGCATCTGGAGAGGGCTGTTTCTGGAGGAGGACTGCTTATTGAAGATGAGTGTGAAACTGACCCTGTCCTGTCTCTTTGGATTCAAGCCGAAGCCCCTTGCCACCATGCCCCATTTAGGGTAGTTTAAACTGTCCGGACCAGGGCTCTTGGTGGGAAAATTTGGATGAAGAATTATAACTAGGTATAATTCGCTACCTGTCCTAGTGATATTGTTTACTTGCTTAATCTGGTAAGCAACTGGATACAATGTTGAATTTCCCAAGGGACTCTTGTACACTTGGTAGTACTTCTACTGTGTATGGGCCTCCCCCAACTCGCCCTAGTGTTTCCGAGGACTGTTCCTGCTGTGATTCTGACTGCTCAGTACTTCTAGTCCTCTTATTGGTGTCAGCACAGAACTATGACTATCAAGTACCCTTGCTCTGTCTTCATGGGAGCCGGGGAGACATGTGGAGCGTGTGGTGACCTGTGCTCGCGCACCAGGTGTGTCCTCTGCGTGGCCAGCTACTGCTTCACCGTGAACAAGGGGAACAGTCCCGAAGGTTGGAGTCTGACTTCTTTTTCCTCGTCAGTAGCTTTGTACCAGGGAGTAAGTCACGTCGCCTCTCTGGCCCTCAGTTTCTTTACCTACTGAGTAGTGACATCTGCCCTGTCTTCTGTCTGCTTCATTGAATCATGAGGACAATGCACGACAACATGTAGAAAGTTTTGTCACCTATTACGCTTTAAGAATAGGACCATTGGAATGCCCGCAAAACAGTTATTATGACCAGACTCATTAAGTTAATCAGAGAAACAGAATTATAGACACCTGTCACCAGAATGACTGGAATTATATTACTTTTGTGATTTTACCTAATAATGTACAAGAAAGATCTTAAAGTTTTATGGGATTTCACTGACTTTTTAAGATATACCTTGATTTATTTATAAGAATGATTTCTGTCTTTTGTTTCTTTAAAACTGTCTTTTCTTGTATGAGATCAAATGAGATGGATCTAACGTTGAAGMTTTTCTAAAATTGGCAGCGTGCTCCCTCTGAAACAGACCTGTTGGACCCCTGCCCGTGCTGCCCTGGCTGTTTTCACGGTGTCTGGTTCTGGCTGTCTCAGCTGCTTTGACTAAAGAGGCAAATGCCTGGTCCTCTCCCAATTGCGAAGTTCCTGAATTCCTGAGTCACCCTTCTATTTTGGATTGGCCACTAATATCTTTTACTTATTTTTGGTTTTCTTCAATTGTAAAACAACAAAGACATTTAACCCTGCCTGCTAAGGTCAAGCCTTGGGGTATAACTTGCATTGTGGTCTGGGCAGGGCTTGGATACTCAATCATGTATAGTCTGTCTTGGTGTTTTCCAGTCTCTCTCTCCTTAGGGCAGGGGTTCTGCCTCCTGCCTCTGGTGCATCTCCCTGCGCCCACCTCCACGGGGGCTGCATGCAATCAGCTTCCTCACTGACTTGTAGCCTGGAAAAGTCTTAATGTAAAATAATCATTCCCTTTCAGCTGGGTCCTCTCCTGGGTCTTAGATTTGGGAACATTTAGACTTGTATCATCTGGGTGGCAGCGTGCTCTTGATTGTGTGGAACTGTCCCATCTTTTCTCCACTGACCTGGTCTTCAGCCCTCTGAGCAGCCTTCTTCGGCAGGTGACTTCCTCTGCCTCACCAGAGCCAACTTTCTTTAAGCCAGGTGTTCAAATCAGAGTTCGAAGGTTCCTAGGTGTTGCTGATATTGTATCACCAATTGTCTTGCATATGTATGTGCATTCTTGCATGGCAGAGGTCTCTAGATTCACAATAAATTCATCAGTTTCCCGAAGAGATTTAATGCTCAAAAAACTGTCCATCCAAGTCTGTGGAAGAGGGAGCACTGGTATTGCCCGTGGGTGCAAGGGCATTTGGAAGGGTTGTAGGGACATCTCCAGGTGTCCAGTAGCACACAGAGTTTCCTTGGTCTTATTGAAATGTGGTTCAGTAGTTGAAGTTTTTGTGCTGCTGTCTTTTTTGGGAAGGGCAGAAATATATATAATATGCTGTGTTTTGTAAGAATTGTTCATGAGATTGTTGTCTTGGAATTCTTTGCAGTAGATACCCAGATCTCATGGTTTTGTTTTAGTTATAGAAATCAAGTCAAAACCAGACAGATTAAATGATCAGGACAACTGTTAAATTATTTGTTCTACTGATTTTGAAAGGAATGAATCAAAAAATCAGGGAAAAATTCATAGAAATCAGCTGTGACAGATGAGGACGGAGAACATTGTGTGTTTTCTAGCTCCACGTGAGAAAAGAAGACATGGACTGAGTGGGTGGCACCTTCAGTGAAGTGGGTGAGGCAGGATAATTCCACTGCTGCCTTAACAAACTGACTCAAATTTAGTGGCTTAAGGTAGCATAATTTTTCAGTTTTGTGGCTCTGTAGGTCAGAAGCCCAGCTGGGCTAAGCCAAGGCATCAGGGGTCTTCCTCACTTGGGGAGGTGTGGGGAGAGTCTGCCTCTTCCTGCTCGTAGGAGCCACCCAGCATTCCTCGCAGCTCTTCCTCCCGCCTTCCAGAGCCAGCAAGGGCTGCCCAAGTCCTGCTGCTGCCTTCGTTTCTGTCCTGTGTCGCGACTATAGCCAGAAGATTTTCTGATTTCAAGAAGTCACATGATTCAGTGCTGTAGCATAATATCCCGCGCTCGGGGTCCTTGGCTTATTCAGCCTGCATAGTCCCTCTGCCACATGTTAACATATTCACAGGTTCTGGGCATTAGATGTGCATGTTTTAAGCATAGTGTTAGGGTGCTCATGAGAGGCAGCAGAACATGAGCTCTAGGGACTTGTCATGGGTCATTTGGGAGTTCGATTTGAGCTTATGAGCCTTTCCCTGTCAAGCCTCAGATGGTTCACCTGATATCCTTAATGTTTATTTATTTATTTATTTTTTAGTTGTAGATGGACACAGTTTCTGTATTTTTATGTGGTGCTGAGGATCGAAGCCAGTGCCTTGCATGTGTGAAGCAAGCACTTGACCGCTGAGCCGTAGCCCCAGCCCCAGATATCCTTAATTTTTTCTTGTAATTACTGAATGTGTTAAGTACAGTTGTGTAATTTATTATGTTAGTTTTTCTTGGCTGTGACAAATACCTAAGAAAGTCATGGTAYCAGTGCATGGTCCACTGGCTCTATTGTTTCTGGACATGAGATGAGGCAGAACATCATGGCAGAGCGGGTAGTAGAGCCAAACTGCTCACCTCATGACAGTGGTGAAGAAGAAAGAGTGCACGAGCAGAAGGGGTTGGGGACAAGAAATACCCTTGTAGCCCGTGACCTGCTTCCTCCAGCTGGGCCTGTCTCCTGGGTTCCCCCCACCCCATCCTGCTGTGTCTCTAAGTGCATTAATCCATGATGACGTTAAAGCCCTCAGGATCCCATTGCTTCCTAGAAGCTCCACTTGGAGGACCAAGCTTTCGACACTTGGCTCTTGAAGTCTAAATCTAATACCTAACACTTATGCTGTCCTATGCTGCTTAGATTTTAATTTCAGGAAATCCAGCAGTTTGTGAAAATGTTGGCAGCTGATATCTCTCAGTAGGGCATTGCTGCAGGATTTGCGGTTGGCTGGACAGAGCCTAAGGTCACACCCCCAGGGACAGCCTGTATCCAGTGACTGATGGAGGTGGGTAGGTGGCTCTGGTACAAAGATGTAGCCATCTTGCCTGAACTGCACTGGCCCAGGCCTCCAATGCAGACATGAGGCAGTTCACCTCCCCCTCCGCCCAGTGCTACCTCTTCACCCTCATGTGGAGTGATTCCCAAGAACATTCTCCAGAAATTCCTGTACACATGTCTTGGCACTTTGGAGCTTGTGTTTCCGGGAAGCTGATCACCTGAATCCTCTGCAGGCTGTTTTCTGTTGTTTCTTTTGTCCATAAGGTTTTGTCTTACTGTCTCTGCTCTTTTTGATTGTTCGACTTTGTATATGATGAGTTTCAGAAACTCTGGATGTCATCTTTCTGCTGTGCCGCAGTCTGGCTGGGCACAATTCAGGAGCCACTTGTCAAAAGAAACAAACTGTATTTTTAGAACCACAAACGCCAAACAAAACAGCTCCTCAGGAAAAAACCCTCAGAGCCCAACTGCCACCACCGGCTTCCACAAGCCTCTCTCCCCACCACCAGCCTCTCCACCTCCCACCACCAGCCTCTCCACCTCCCACAATCCTCCTGCTCTTGAGGCCGATTGGCTGGGTCATGTGGGCGGAGCCAAAATTGTCTCCCAATGAGCAGCTCCATGGTCTGAAAGGGCAGGGAAACAGCCCAATGAGCATCACCGCAGAGGAGCCAATCAGCTAGATGTTGCTGGGGCCGGAGCAAGCCAATCATCAGCTGGCAGTCTGAAAGTTTGCTGGGGCCCCTTCGGCTGTGGCTCAACACTGCAGAGGACTCACTACAGAAGTAGCAGGTGGCTTCCTAGTCTACGGGCACTGGCCTGCTCAGTCACATTAATCAAGTCAAGGGTCGAAACTATTTGGAGCTTTAATCGGTGCTGTTCCAGTTTTAGTTCCCTTTGCTCCTAAGCTCTAGCTTATGGGGTGAATGCTTTACCTGCCCCTTCTCCGTGGTGGGCTCTGCGTCTTGTGTCCTAAGCCCTGGGGGTCTGTCATGGCTGTACTCACCATCAGCCTCTTAGCTGCAGTTTTCAGTTGACAGGTGCCGCTAGGTGGGTTTAGCCAGCTGTTGGTCTTCCTCTAGGCTTCCTTCTCCTGGTTCTCTGAGGCCCTGAGACAGATTCAGGGGGTCCCATTTAGTTTTCCTTGTTGTCCTCTGCAGGGACATTGGTTTAAACCACCTATGCCGCTATTGCTAGAAGCCATTTTCTGCTGTATCGTTGACGTATAATTTGCTTAGCCAATCTATTACTGTTGAAATAGAGGTTTTATTAAAAGCATTAGCTATGCTGTGTAAATAGTGCATGTCTTTATTGCTTCGTTGTGTGCCCACTTACAGTTCTTTCACATGCAGATTTGAAGTGCAATGGTTAGTGTGTGGCTGCTCCAGACACTGTGCTGATTTACCCTTCATCAGCAGTGGGGGAGATGAACCGTCTCCAGCCTGACTTCATAAATGTGTGTGCATTTCCTTCCCTCCTGCAGGCACGTGCCCTGACACCTCAGACTGCAGAAGCAGATGCCATTCGGTTTTTGGTTGGGACGCAGTCACTTAAATATGATAATCAGGTAACTATTTTTGAAATGTATACATGTTAATTACTGAGATTTTTCTTAGTTTTATAACCATTTTGCTCTTCATTTTCCAGCAACATGTGAGAAAAAAATGTCACACAAACAAAATAAACTTGTATTAGACTTGAACATGTTTTAAGATGACGGCTGAACCCAGCTAGGTACGGAGATTGAGTGCAGCGATTTGAACTTGCTGTGCTGGTAGTACTTGCATAGCTTGGTTTTTGTGGCTACACAGGTTTTTACCTTATAAGTGATTGAGAAGCAGTCTGGGGGCTTTTGCTCCGGGGGTGACCTCTCAGATTGCTCCCAGCACTCTGTATCGCTGAACTTGTCCCAGTCCCACTGCAGCACAGGGTTCCAGACTGTCACGCCTGTTGGCCACCTGTGGGCTCATAGGATGAAGCAGACACTCGGGAGGTCTGGATTCATCCTGTGCTGTGACTCCAACCCTGTGACCTGAACAAATTGTTTCGGCTTGCTGGGATGGAGGCCAAGCGTCTCCTGTGCCCTTCACAGAAAGACCATGAATACTGTGAGCAGGTGTGCTTTCTTGGCACGGGGGTGGTGTCCACAGGCCACGTTAAAACGCACAGAGCCTCTCTTCTGTCCCACAGGAGAAAGGTGTCAAAATAGCTCATGAAGAACGTTCCTGCTGCGTAGGTCATCGAGATCGCCACAGTCCATGTTGATAAGGGATTTAAAATCGGCATTTTGACTACAACACCAATTTGTTGATCTTTATCTAGATACAGCTTTGTATATAAATATTTCTTTTACTCAAGCTGTAATTTCTGTATCCACAACCTAGGAAAAGCTTTGTGCACCAAGAATATTAATTCACTGGTACTTAACAATTGTAAAAATAGAACATCAAAATGTGAAATGCTGGGCGGACACTGGGGAGCTTCCATCCGTGGAGCTGGACTTCCACGGGTCCCCAGGCTGCTCGCAGTGCACCAGTACTCACTGTGCTCAGTAAAGTTACGGATCCGAGGAAGCATCACAACTTGGGGTCTTAGGATCATAACACACTGCGACTAACTGTGGTGTAGAAGAGCAAAGTTCACAATCGAATCTTTGTTTGTAATGCAGGCTGGAAGGAAATAGGTCAGAAAGGGCCAAAATTAGTGCTGTGGCATCTCCAGGTGGCGGGAGATGGGGATGCTGTAAATGTTTTCCTTGCTAATATGGTTTTCTTTATGTGTCTGTGGATGTCTGTGAGAGAGAGTCTCTATGTGTGTGTGTGTGTGTGTGTATGTGTGAGAGAGAGTGTGTGTGAGAGTGTGTGGGTGACAGGGTGTGTGTGTGTGTGAGAGAGAGTATGTGTGTGAGAGAGTGTGTGTGAGAGTGTGTGGGTGACAGTGTGTGTGTGTGTGTGTGTGTGAGAGAGTGTGAGAGAATGTGTATGAGAGAGTGTATGTGAGTGTGTGTGACAGTGTGTGGGTGAGTGTGTGTGAGACAGTGTATGTGTGAGAGTGTGTGTGAGAGAGTGTGTGCGTGTGAGAGTGTGTCTGTGAGAGAGTGTGTGTTAGTGTGTGTGTGAGTCTGTTGTGAGTGTGTGAGAGTGTGTGAGTGTGTGACTGAGTCTTTTGTGAGTGTGAGAGTGTGTGTGTGTGAGAGTGTGTGAGTGTGTGTGACAGTGTGTTGTGTGTTGTGAGTGTGTGTGTGAGAGTGTATGTGTGAGAGAGTGTGAGAGTATGTGAGAGAGTGTGTGTGAGAGAGTGTGAGTGTGTGACTGTGAGTGTGACTGTGAGTGTGTGAGTGTGTGTGACAGAGTGTGTGTGACTGAGAGTGTGTGTGTGAGTGTGTGAGAGAGTGTGAGAGTGTGTGTGTGTGACAGTGTGTTGTGAGTGTGTGTGTGAGAGTGTGTGTGAGAGTGTGATAGTGTGTGTGAGAAAGAGTATGTGAGTGTGAGTGTGTATGAGAGTATGTATGTGAGAGAGTGTGTGTTTGTGAGACTCTGAGTGTGTGTGTGAGAGTGTGTGAGTGTGACAGAGTGTGTATGAGTGTGTGTGAGAGAGTGTGTGTGACAGATTGTGAGAGTGTGTGTGTGTATGAGAGTGTGTGTGTGTGAGTGTGTATGAGAGAGTGTGTTTCAGAGAGTGTGTGTGAGAGTCTGTGTGAGAAAGAGTGTGTGTGAGAGAGTGTGTGTGTGAGACTGTGTGTGTGTGTGTGTGTTTGTGAGACAGAGAGAGAGAGAGAGTGTGCTTGAGAGAGAGAGAGAGAGAGAGTGAGTGTGTGTGTGTGTGACTTTTCCTGTGGAAAAAGTTGTAGCTGAGGTTCCTTTATGAGTGTGAGAGTGGCTGCTGGTGGCCACCCCAGAGGGAAGCCAGCGGCCAGTGCATGGATCTCACTTAGGCAGTGGGTCAGAGCCATGCCCGTGGCTGGGTGAAGACCTGGCCGGGTGGCATGTCGCGAGGCCGCAGCAGGTGCTGGGCCCTCCCTCCTGCCCTCCTGTCACTGGGGACTGCCTAGGAGGAGTGGACCGTGCCTCCCCGTCTTGTCCGCAGCCTCCAGTTGCCCTCTTCTTATTACTTGCTTTTTAAATCTGCCTGATTTCTGAGACTCTACCATAGTACAGCTCAGTTCTCTAAATCTTCTGAGAACAAGGAAGAACTTACTGTTTTTATTAGTGTGAGATGCTTTCTTAAAAAAAAGAGAGCTAACAAATGTACAGATGAAAAACAAAATGAAGGGACAGAGAGTGGCCGTGAGAGGCAGCCATGCCGCCCTGGCCGCCCTGGCCGCCCTGGTGCTGCTGCCTGGGGTGTACCCTGGTGAGGGTGTTACGAAAGAACTGGCCCAAGAAATAGTGCGTTTGTCTCTTAGAAGCCTTTCTGAACAAGGCAAGATCCAGTTAGTTAGTTTAAAGAAGCTTTAACATTTTTCCTCTCTTTCCTCCTAGTTGAAAAATTCTGATATCAYTCAGGTTAGTTTCCCCGTAGTTGCTTAAGAGTAAACAGTGTCTTGTTACGCACCTTCCATTCACACCCCACACGTGTACTTTTAACGCTTTCATTAACAGTGTAATCAATGCTTAGTGAAGATGTACACAGCAGTGGTTCTCAATCCCAGAGATTTAGGGGAGGCTGGAGCTGCTCCCCAGCCTGTGGTGAGCAGTGGGCCTGTCCTCTGCGCTCCTGGCCTGGCTGTCTTGGTCACATTGTGCTGCAGTAGGGGTGATGCTCTTGTCTAGGGCTGAAAGAAGTGGAGAGCTAGTGTTTTCCTAGGGTCTCAGAACTCACGGGCTCTTCTCTCTGAGCAGTGCTATTGTGGTCTCTGGGGGGAGAACCAGCTCCCTAAGGCAGTTCCCAGCACTGCTGTCTTCAGTGTGGTTTCTGTAGTACAAGGTGTGCATTCTTGGGCCTGGTGAAAGAAGCCTTTTAATCAGAAAATTTTATCCTTCTTAAAATAGTCTTATATAGAAATCCAACTTTCCCATGGTAAGAGAAGCATATTTGAGCTTAAGTTTGGGGTACCTAGTGTGTAAGTGTTGGGTGGTCTTTTCTACCCTCCGTCATAGGAGTTGCTTGGTGCTTCACAGAGCCCCCCCAGTAAGTCTTCTTTGTCCTGCTATACTTCCTGATGACACAGCTAATCCAGGCTGTGGTCTCTGGCTACAGCTACAGTTTTCTTCATGGTAGAATGGGGGGACCGAGTGATAGCTCTCTTTCTCCGGTTGTCTTTTGAAGGTGACTCCAAACCATAGCAGGAGAGGGGCATTTCCTAGTGCTGGCTGTGCCTTCTGCTTGGGGGCAGGTGTGTGCCGTCTTTGAGACACCCGTTCGCTCAGGCATCCTTTCAGCCACTGCTTGTACTGCACATGGGCAGAGCTCTTGAGTTCCTCTTTTTATGTGCTGGGTACATACAAATGAACAGATACACGTCAGATAGGGTCTGATATGTGTCCTGAGTTGTGTGTTCAGCGAAGTGCTGCGCTGGACGTGCAGTGTCTCAGGGGGCTGTGAATGAGGTGTGTGCATGTTGCAGGAGACCAGGAGGTGGAGACGGGTGAGGGTTCTAGATCTGAAGTTTGTTATTTGCTTCTGCAGTAGACTTTTCTCCAGAATTTTCCTTCCATATTGGTAACCTCCTATTTCTTATATAGATGGGACACTAGTCTTAATCCTCCTTCTGAGGACAGCAGGAGTGCCAGATGGCCAAGAGGTCTGGAATGTGGGCTCTCACAGCCTCAGTGACTTGTCCTGGTCAGTGGAGGAGCTGCTGAAGCCAAGGGGTGGTAGGCCACTCCTTCCTTTCCCAGGGTAACTTTTGTCCCTGGTTTTACGGCCATAGCTGTGTTGTTGTGTGTTGTGTTTGGATTAATGATAGTGTGTTTCTGAGTCCCCTCTGCCTGGGTTTCCTCTCCTATCCCCCTCAGAATCTCTCTCTGCTTGGGAAAAATCCAGAGTCCTGGCCCCACTCCCACTTAACCTCAGCTTCTCTACTCTTCTTTGTGCCTTCCTCCGTCCCTTCCTCCTCCTCTGCTCCTCCCTGCCCTCCTCTCTTCCTTTCAGCTCCTTGTTGCTCTGGGCAGTTGGAGTATCCGATAGCCTGGGTTCCAGCTGGGCTTCCCCGAGCCCAGGCCATGCTGCCAGCAACCCGTCCTCCTTTCTGCATCTTATTTTCTTCAGTAAGGGCTTCCTCTGTAGGGTGCTCTTGTTTCTGAGTGCCCCCAGGTGATCTGCTGTAATTGGGGACTCTTTTATAGGTTCCCTCCACCTCCCAGCTCAGCTAGTCAGGGATCTGACATCTGGTGTGACCCTTGTCCTCTTCTGAGGATGGCTGAGCCCACAGGTCTGTTGACTTCCCACAGTGGTTGAGCTCAGCTGATTATTGACTCCTGAGTGAAATTTGGAACTTCCTGTCCAGGATTTCCTTGTGTCGTTGTCTCTCCTCACGTAGCTTGTGTGTGACCTCTCACGTGAGGCCTTTCCAGCTCCCTTGGCCCAGTTCCCCAGCCTGCCCTTGTCTGTCAGTGTGGACACCTG